AGTGACAGTCCATTTAGGGGATAACTCTACAATTCCAGCTACTGGAACCGGTGTGGTGCATCTGGCATTACCATCTCAGAGGATCACTATCGAAGCCCTATATGCATCAAGTCTTCAGATCTCCTTATTATCTGTTAGTCAGTTATCTCAGCAATTTCCGATCTCATTTAGAGAAGCATCCTACTTTATTGGAGACTCTCTGCTGGGAACGCTGGACAATGGGCTTTACCACCTAAATCAGAAACCAGTTATTACAAATACCGCCGTTTGTCCAGCCATTGATCTTTGGCATCGACGATTAGCCCACATCAATCGTCAATCCTTGAAGTCCTTGATACCTCATACAGCATATACAGAGATTGAGGCTGGTAAACCTGAGGAGACTTGTGAGATCTGTATTAAAGCCAAACACCAGAAAAGAATAGAACGAAAGCCGGTACCAAGAGCCACACATCTCTTCCAACTCATCTATTCAGATCTCTGTGGGCCCATAAGCCCTGAATCCATGTCAGGCCTGCGGTATTTTATACTATATATCGATGATTACTTGAGGTCAACCTGGACGTATTTCCTTCGCTCAAAGAATGCTGTTGAAGTGGTTTCAGTATTCCAGGAGTTTATGGCCACCATAGAGAAACAATTCCCACAGTATCCAATTACTCGGTTCCGCTGCGATAATGGAAAAGGCGAGTACGATAATAGCATTTTCAGAGGAATTTTGAGAGTATCAGGGATATTATTCGAGCCATTGCCTCCCTATACACAAGACAAAAATGGGGTTAGTGAAAGGATGATACGAACTATCGTAACCAAAGCTCATGCCATGCTCTTAGATTCCAATCTTGGAGAAGAATTTTGGGCTGAAGCTGTAAACACTGCCGTTTACCTTCACTGCCGTTTCCCGTCATGGTCAGTTGATGGATCAACACCTTATGAAATGCTGCATGGGACAAAGCCAGAGCTTGGGCACCTACGTCAGTTTGGATGTATTGCATTTAAACTGATTCCCGATGCCCAGCGTCGTGGAAAGTTTGCGGAACGATCCAAGATGTGCGCTTTCATTGGCTATGTGCATGATACGTCAAAGATATGGCGTCTATGGGATCTTGAGGGAAAGCAAATGATACAAGCATCAAACGTTTGGTTTGATGAGTCACGAAGGGCAGGCGACTGAGTGGTTGGCCAATCTGAACTCGAGCTTCTCAAGAGCTGTATACCTGAGAATATGCCCCTAGAAGAAGACAACTCTGAATTTGCAGAGTTTCGTAAAGCGAATGACCTATCTGACGGTATTCCCTCAACTGGGAGGAGGACTGATGAGTCGCTCCTCCATAAAGTGTTGAGTTTTGAGAAAGCCACAGCTCCTACTGCAGAGTGTGATGCGCCTACTACTGGTACGAGTAGTATGAGGCAAGAAGGTGAAATAATCCCTTTAAGACGGTCGCAACGTCTTGGTGGTCAAACTCAAGTATACAGTGCTATACTAAGACCAGAATCCAATGATGGGAGTGACCTGCTTAGCTACCGGGAAGCTCTAAATCAACATCGTTCTGAACATTGGAAAAATGCCATGTGGGCTGAATTCCGTTCCTTGAAGGAGAACGAGACATGGGAATACCTGTCTATGATTCCAAGAACTGTGAATCCAGTAGGCTGCAGATGGGTCTTTGTTCTAAAGACAAACCCTGATGGAACTTAGAGGTTCAAGGCTTGTCTAGTAATTAGAGGTTACGAGCAAGTCCCGGGAGTGGACTTTGATGAAACGTTTGCACTAGTTGCAAAGTTAGTAAGTCTTCGTTTGCTTGTAGCCCTTGCAGCTGTTGGTGGACTAGAGATGCATCATATGGATGTCTCTACTGCGTTTCTCAATCCCCCAATTGACAATGAAGTATACATGCAATTGCTGGAGGGAATTGAATGGCTGGAAGCAGCCTTACCCCCTGCAACTGTAGTTTGCAAACTTAACAAAGCACTTTATGGCCTGAAACAGGCTCCTGGTCTTTGGTATGATCATATTGATCAATTCCTACGAACCATTGGACTCCATCGTTCTGAGAACAATCCAAATCTTTATATTGTACATGATTCTAAGCTAATCTTGCTACTTTATGTTGATGACATTTTGATAACTGCAAAATCTCTTGATAGGATACAGGAAATCAAACAACATCTACATGCCCAATACCGAATAAATGACCTAGGAGATGTTCGCAGATTTCTCGGCATTGAAGTTGAATGGTCACCAAAGAGCATACGACTACATCAAGCCACGTTTATCCGAACCATCCTTTACCGCTTTGGGATGACCGACAGTAATGGCATTTCGACTCCTATGGAATCTGGACAAAAGCTGTTGTCCGCTCAAGAGACTGATGAATTGATCAACCAAAGAGACTATCAATCCTTGATCGGGAGTCTCATGTATCTTGTGGTCGGAACTCAACCAGATATTGCATTCTCAGTGCCACACTCAGCAAGTTTAATGCAAAGCCAACCAGGAATCATTTCCTTGCTGCAAAACGTGTCCTTCGGTACCTTCAACAAACGATCAATCTGTCCTTGATCTACAGCATTGGTCAACCAGAAGTAATCGGCTTTACTGACTCAGACTTCGCGGGAGATACCACTGACCGGAAATCCACCTCAGGCTATGTCTTCTTACTAGCTAACGCGGCGATCTCCTGGAAAGCAAAGAAATAGTCTCTAGTTTCGCTATCCTCACCAGAAGCTGAGTATATTGGGTACTCGGAAGCCTCTCGTGAAGCTATCTGGCTTCGTCGCCTCTTTCACGAAATTACCACAACAAAGCATGAATTGCAGGTGCTTAATTATGATAACCAAGAAGCTATTAAGCTTGCTGGAGATCCCAAGTTTCATGAAAGAACAAAACACATTGATGTCAAATACCACTTCGTCCGAGACTGCTGCAAGCAAGGCCTCATTCGACTCAACTACATACCTACGAACATGATGACTGCCGATATCATGACAAAACCCTTGCTGTGCGAAACCCACCAACGCCATACTCGAAATCTAGGCCTACAGATGCAGGAATGAGAATAGGCGCAGATGAAGTACACAGTTCTGAAGAATAATTTTGCTTAATTTGAATCTCCCATGTTTATATTTTCCTTGCATGTAACGGACACTCTTTTTCCTACCAAAGTCCTTGGGAGGTTTTTTAATGAGGTCTCCGATATTTCTATATATTAGATCAATAGTTATCAGGAAGGGTGGGAGTGTTGTCAGTATGACATAGGACACGGTGCTAAGACTTCCTGATAGGAAAGGAAGAGCTGCGAGACGATCGGGACAGAGTGAAAGAAGAAGGATATGCCGAAATGAAGGTCATGAGATGGATATAGTAGACCGAGCCAAATGAGTTGAATTGGGGTGAAGGACTGCTTTATGGGATCCGAAGTACTTGTATATAAAGGTAGTTAACTACCTGGTATTTAGGAGAGGTGCATGAGCATGGGCGATGGGTGTGATGAATGATATTATCTCTTTGCCTATCAAGAACCTCTATTTCTCTCCCGTTTTACAACAGTTTGGGTTCTCTCTGAATTCGAGTGACGTTCGGTGCAGCAGCCCTAAATAATAATGTCACTCGTGGAACACAATCTACCGAATCCCACCCGGTGCAGCCCGGAAATGCCAGGCGTATTTTTCTATCTACTTGGCTGATCTGTCGGAGGAAAAGGGCTGTCTAGAAGCTGAATGGGAGCACAGAAATGCGGGAAGAGGGCTATACTTCTTGTAAGGTGGTTTCGTATATATCCGGGCAATAAGGGTTATTACTTGTCTTTTGCGCTAGAAAGGTCAGCCACCACCCCTCAAACCGGTCAATTCTCGCTTTCCCATTGAAACTCTCAACCTCCCGTCTCTCGATATTACCCTTCAACCACCTGTCTAGCGCCTGCCGAGCCCGAGCTGATTTTCCACAATTTCCTGCTCCTGCTCTATGAGGTCGGCATGATTTACTAGCCCCACTCACTTACCCTCCTGGAACTCGGCCCCCTCTCTGAACCCCTGAGCTGGTCCTTGATGAGAATTGAAGCTCATTTTTTAGGTTGATTTATTTGCTTTGACATTCCGTAAATCTATTCCCAATAGGGGCTTCAGTGGGTCCATCAGGTATAATGGTTGAGTAACCTGTTGTTGCTTGGGGTTAGTTTGGTGGGGGTTTAATGGGTATCTAGGGTATTTCCTCTTTTCACCTATAGGGAGGGGTAAAGTGTATATCAGGGTTGTTGGAATGGATCAGCTTACCAAGGTGGAGGGAAGTGGTTAGGCAGGGAGTGTGGGGTTTGTATTGGTAGAGGTATTTCTTAAAGCAAGTTTTTTGTTTCTTTGTCAGAGACGAGGCCCTGTTGTGATTTGCACCGTATAGTTTCTGTTTTCAGTGCACTGGAAGCTTCTGGTTCTCACCGGTATCAATATTTCGTATTCCATGTTCTGTAATGTTGTCTGCCACAATCTCCCTTCTCCCCGCAACTATGTGCCTTCGTATACTCTGGAAATGAAAGGGGATTCCTCAAGGCCTCCAAATATGATCCCGGCAACCCGGCTCTTACCCCTCTTCTCGCTCTTTCTTCAAGCTTCTCATAGTTTCTCCTTACTCCACTTTGTTAACCAATCGTCATCCTCCTTGTCCCCACGTGCTATACATTTTCTTTCCTCTCATGCTTGCTCCGTGTTACCTGTACTTTATAGAAGCTCCAGAACCTTCCACTCCTCTTGACAAACAACAGACTCGTAAGCATTACATCGAACAACTTCTAACACCTTGACATCAGATTTTGTCATCAGCTCTCATACAGAGCCCCATTGTTCCGCACCTCCTGGGGGAGGCACACAAGCTCCTCCTTTCCCCCCTCTCTATCTTCCCTTTACTCTATCACGGCCGATCTTCGCTGAACACCACCGTACTCTTTTCCCGTACGTTCATCTTTCTGCATTACTACGGCCCACTCACGCCCAAGGATCTATGTCATTCCTTGAGCTTTCCACTCTCGAATAAATATATCTGCCTCGACATCGGTCTTTCCGTGCTGCTTCCGATAATGAGCTTTGAAATTATCTACCCTAGTGAATCTTGCGCCGGCAAGCCTACAGCCCCTCTCTCGACAAGCCGGCCCACTGGGAGCACTATGTCTTCTGGATGTCCTGAAGTGCCTGTCAAGGTCTGTCTGGCGTTTGAATATTGCCTTGCAGGGGTTGCACACCCAGCGGGGAAGGCCCGAGTGGCCGGCGACATGATCCTGTTCCTCACCGTGGCACGTGGGTACATCAGCAGGAGGGGGCCAAGGCGCAAAATCGGCCATGTTGTGGTTGGGGGAAAGTTCTGGGAATTGAGGACCCCAGGTCGGTTGTCGTTGCTCCCGGCCGGCATATTGTTGGTAATTGGGATTAAGGTCGAAGTAGCCACCGTTTTTGTCGGTGGAATATACGTTAGCTCCAGTAGGTGAGTCGTTTTGGGCGTGTAATGAGGCGGGACCCGAGCTGGCAGGGGTCAATTGGGCGGGAGAAACTACTAACGGCACATCGTTCGAGAAGATTGGAACTTGGTATTCCGGGGAGCTATCAGATCAAGAGGTTGGTAGATGGTTAGCTCGCAATCCCGAACATAGGTATTTGGGAAGTGACAAAGGACGCGAGCTTGTCTGCTTACTTGTCGCGTTGGGTGGGTTCGGGATTGATATTCCTCCAACCTATAGTCCCAGGATGGGAGTTGCGGGGATTGCTGCTGCTATGAGGGTCCCAGGTGTCGGACGGGTTGCCACCGTTGGGAGGGGCAGCTTGCCAGGGCTTCGGGCTGTGTGCACAGGGATTGTGGGGGCCGGGATCTCCATCAGTCTCATGGCTTGAGTGGAGATTTGCGCTCCCTCTCGGAAAGCTATGCTGGTTATGATTAAACCGAGACATTTCTTGTATTCGAACTTCGAAGTAGTAAGGGGGAAGAGTTCCTGAGTGGAGGCGGTCGTTGATGTTTCTCAGAGCTGGAGAGCGGAGGGGTTTTATCATAAAGTCTCAGCCTCATAGATGAATCTGCAAAGCCAACTCAGACTTGCCGATAAAAGCGCTCTTCCGATCGAGGGGCGGGGGGGAGAGAAAGCACGAGGTATGCCTTGCCCTAACCTAGTGTAGAATCTGTAATCTACATTGCACAAATACCTGTGGGATCTAGTGGTAGTCTTCGAGTCTGGGCGAGGCGTCCTCAGCACCTGGCTCATTCGCCTTGGCTCTGTAGGCATTTTTCAAATTTCCTAGCTTCTCTTATGCTCTGCATGCTTCTATATGGCTCCGCCGTATTGCCAGTGGGCTGTGTTTTCGATTTGGCGTTACAGCGTGAAGGGGAAGATCAACTGGGGCCAGGGGTGGGTTCTTGACATTCTGAAAGCTTCGGCCTTGGCATTGGTTGCACGGGGGATGCGTTGGTAAGAGCGATGATCCCCTGTTGCCTCAGCCGCTGCGCTACTGTGTAACACAGGATAATTCCTGCAGCCTGTATCAGGTTGGGTCGAGGTCAACACCAACCCGCCCCCAAGCCAAAATACTTTGAAAACCGGGTAACACTGAACTATTAGTGTTGCAGGAAAAACGCTAAAAATGGTTTCTCTTGTAATTGCGTAAGGAATGCCTTTTCTAAACCCCTTAATGACTTGTTTTATTTATAAATGCACTCGAAATCAATGGCTAAGATGGTGTTGCAGTGGTATGTTTGGTAAAGATATGCGGCATCTGCAGTTCTCACTCCCTTACCACAACGACCTGCCATATGACGCTTGGGGAAAACAAAAACAAAACACCTGTTTTAATTTGTTATTTAAATGTTTTTATCTGGTAGGTTGGGAGAACCCAATGCCAATTAGTCAAAGCGTATGGGGGATCACTTTCCTATGAAGATACGGCTTGGAGGGTCTTGGAAAAAGGTATAGCGGGATGCCTGACTAAGCATACGGTCATAGCTCACCGACGAGAGGTATGTGAACCGCCAGCATTTATACACCCTTGATCTCCCCCGAATATGGGAGCACCAAGCTCCCTACTCGAGTACAGCTCGTGTACTTCATTCCCGTATTCTTAATTGTCCCACCCACCCCCTCTATCAGACCTTAAAGCGCCCCTATTGTCATTTTGGGAATATTGTTGTGAATCGTGATCGTCTGTCGTCTCTTCTCTGCGCTTGGAAGCTTTTTCTTTTCTGTTCAGTGTAGGGCTGAACTCAATTCTGATTTTTTCTTGCCTTCTTCGTTTCTCCTTCAAAGGAACACCTATCTTTATATACACTTGTGGGATTACTTCCTCCCCCTCCCGGACATCTCTCCTTGGTCTACAACATATCCGACTCTTTCCTTCCACCCTTCTCTTGGTTTTTTCTCTAAGATTCTATCAGGTTCAGTCTACCCCGCTTTCTTAACCAATCACCGTCCATGCTGCTGCCTCGTGCCGTTCATTCCCATGGCCTCCAGGACCAATCTAAAATACATTCATAGGAAACACCATCCAGAACCTTCCATCGTGGTTACCAATCATGCGTCTAAGCTTTACAAATCCTTCGGCACCTCCGGGAAGGTCCCCGGACAGTTAGGTGGGGTCGGAGAACCGGTGATTTTCAATAAATATCGGTTGCAACGATCCCTAGCGACAAGGGCAGCGACAACCTCACCGATGGCTCCAGCAGTGGAATGATGCTATTTGTACACAGGAGGAATGGCATTTTCCTTTGTTCTTTACTTGTAATTATCTTCACATCCTTACGTTTCTGTTCTCTGTCTTGTCAGTTTATTTCCTTGATGCTTTTGCTTGGCTTTGGAAAAATTGGCACGGGGAAATAGTATTATCCCTTGGAGAGGTGGAACAACAAAATTTGGTGCCCCAAAATATAATCCATACCGGGTACCCTCAGCTCGTTATGTACATACCTCTCGGGTATGATGCCCTTTAGATAGCCCGAATCGGTTAGAATTTCTGGGTAAAATATCCGTTTTAAAGAGATAACTTGGGTTGGAAGGTGGCTTGCCGGGATGCCCTGGAGCCATAGTCGCTGGTTGTACAAAGTACCTTTTTTGGAATTATATAAGGAATTGATTTTCGCTTAAAGCACATATCGCTAAGCTCACTATTTCGCTGACCAACCATTTCAAGACATGCGTTAATTGATCTGGCTTGTTTTGGGGTAAAGTTTGTGTTTTCGTTTTTACTATTTTTTATCGCAATAGTTCTCACCTAGATATTGGGGGCGGGTATTGATCTCGTGGTGGGCATATGGTGGGAATACTGCATTAACTACTAAGGGCCTTCAGGCCCTAACACGTTCAGATATCATACCGATAAGATTTTTAAGTTATCTGTGTTTCTTCGTCTGGAATCGCAATAATACGTCATAACCTAACACTTTACAGGGGGCCAAAACCTTTCGGGGATCTGGCTTTGATTCGGTTGTAAGCTTTGCCTCAGTCGGTTCGTATTTCTACCTGAAAACGTCTGACGGTTCTCGCTGGGGGTAATACTACTCCTACGCCTCAGCCAAGAATTGGTTTCCCCGTTTGTGGTAGTGAGTGTGGGCCGCTACCTCCCCACCAAAGAAGTATAGCCAAGAACTAGCTGAGAGGTCTAAATATTTGGGGAATTGTCTTATACTGGTCTCACTTCTCTGACTAGTGTTCCCAACCGTCCGGGGGCCAGGTGGCGCCCCACGGGGGGACTGCCAAGAGCCCTGGACGGGACGGGACGGCCATGTGTAGCCCGCCCTGGCGGTGAAAGTAGAGGACGGCCGTCTTTGGGTAGGACGGCGGGCCCTATGGGGTGAAACAAGGTTGGCAAGAGTGACGGTGGGGGACCTCGGGGACGGCAGGGGATCGCTAGGGACGGCGGGGTACTACCAAGAACTACAGGGGACTACAGGGGATGCGGGGGACTGCGGGGGACTGCCAGGGGACTACGGGGGACTGACGGGCACTGCCGGGGACTGTCATTTTGTCCCTAGAATTTTATGATGGAGAGGCTTTGCGCAGCGCAGGCGAGAAATCACAATGTGGATGGAACCGAAGGTGAAGTGAGAGGAGTGGTTCGTGTCGTCTCCCCAAAGCACCGAAAGAAAACTAAATACAAAGTGCAAGGATGATAGCCATTCCCACACAGGGCTGTTCATCCTAAAAACAAACAAACAAATAAAAACATCATATCACCAAATAAGGGCTCACACTCTCGGCCCTCTCCACCACCTACATGCATCTCCATACATCTCTCTATCTCACTGCACTTGCTCCACCATATCTTGCTGTTGGGATCATGCCATCATTTTATGCAGCAGGACCCCGCAGTCCCCGGTAGTCTGTCTTGGCACTCCCAAAAAGGCGGACTACCAGCTATAGTCCGCCCCGTCCTACCCCAAAGACGGACGGACCGGTTGGGAACACTGTCTTTGACCATGCTATCTCGTTCTACTACTCCAGGATTCACTATTCTAACCAAACAACAGAGCAGGGCGGTCAACGAACAGGCCTCAATTCACTTGGAGATCTGTCTTGAACCTTCTTTGTTCACCTACGGGCAGACAGATAGCTAATCAAAGGCCATTCCTGCGCATACATAAAGGGCAACAATAGCGGTTTTGATTGATGTCGGAAAGGCTCTTCCCACCGGGAGTTATGGAGTAGATGCGATGATGTTGGACTTTCTTGTCACATGCTTACCAAGTATTACAAGTCTCCTGATCACCAATAGTTATGCGATATCTATATACTATACTTCTATGGTGGAAAAGTGCCGGCCGATACTCGCTACCATAAATCGAGAAACCGATTCTTGGCTGAGGCACGAGTATTGCCGGAGGGTATCCTTCCACCCAAGGGGGGTATTGGGGATGTGCAACGTCCCGGAGGATATGAGAGGAGTTTTTCCTGTGCCGTTGTCAGGGCCTGCAGGGTTAGGGTTTGGTATCCGTTGTCAGCCACCCCCCCTAGTTTTACCTTGCCTCGGGTGGGGACTGATTACGGTTCTTGCGGGGGTTCTCTCATTGGGCCGGTTTCACCTATTCTGCATGTTGTATGGTAACGCACTGCGGAGGGTGGGGTGATAGGCACGAAACTCGATAATTCTGTGCCGGGATTAACAGATGCCGTTGGTGGCTCGCTTTGTGCCTCAAGTATTGGTTCGCCAGAGAAAAAAAGAGTTTCTATTTCGCATGCAGTATCCCCCGCCGTCCGAGTGCCTTACGGGCTAGGGAGTGGAGGACTGCTGTGAATTTGGGGTGGGACTGGGTGACAGTCTTTGGGTGGGCCTTGCTCTACAGGGCGATGCGGTGGCTTTCAGGGGTAAAGGAGATATTGAGGGAGGGGCTAGGTGTGATGGTTGATGATTTTAAATCTCTAAGAAGTGAGCAAGCGAGTAGAATAAATGTACCGTACTGATGTACAGCCACTCGACAGAAGTGTTCGTGAAACCTGTCTCATATTAGTCATACACCTGCTCGCAACCGGTACCACACGCGAAGTTGACCGGTATACGTGACTCAGTAATACCATCGTGACCGATCACAACTGACCAAGAGACCACCTTCACCCTGAACATAAGTCCTGTTATTTACTACCCCTTCTTTATTTTATCTTCAAGTTTCCACTATGGTTAATCGATCAGGAGGCACCAAATATGCAAAAAAGAAAAGCGTTCCAAAAACTGCACGGTGAGAGATGTCAGATATGGAAGAGGGAATGATCCTGGCATTTTTCCACTGCTTAGGCAGTATTGCTCAGGTGGCTTCCTTGGTTGGCCGGCCCTGGTCTACTATCAAGAGCTTTCTGGTCCAAGTATGTGAGTGAATGTCACCGGATAATATTCCTCACCCTGGTCATCCCCCACTCCTGAGTTGGCAACAGCATTGCACAATACTCACAGCTGCCAAATCCAACCGCACCATGACCAGAACTGACTTCTGGGATGAATATGCACCAGGTGTTTCACTTGCAACCAGTAAATTCAACCCCTCTAGAGTGATATCTCATGATTTTAGTTATGCTAATATTTTAGCTTATAGTTGATAGAGTTCTCAGAGAAGCCAATATGAAGAAATGGATAGCCAAATCCAGACCTCAACTCAAGCCTGAGCATGTTGCCAAGAGACTTGCATGGGCTACTGCTGATAAATATTGGACAAGTGAAGACTTTGAAGGTGTGATTTGGAGTGATGAGTGCAGTGTGGAAAAATCTAGAGACCCAAGACAGCAATGGGTATTTAGAGAACCTGGAGAAAAATGGTTGGCTGAGCGCATTCATCCAAAGGAGTAGAATAAGGGAATCTCCTTGATGGTCTGGGGATGCTTCTGGGGTAAAAACAAAGGTCCTCTAGTTCTCATTACTAGAAATATTACTAAAACCAGGTATACAAGGCTTTTAAGAAGACACTTGATTCCTGTTATTCACCAGATGTTAGCTTATGGTATTCATGATTTTCTTTTTCAGCAGGACAATGCACCAGTTCATAAAGCCTATAGTGTCATGGATTGGCTGGAGAGAAATAATATTGATGTACTGTACCATCCCCCTTATTCCCCTAATTTGAATCCTATTGAACATGTATGGGTTGAGCTTAAAAAGAGATTGCATCAGCAGTATCCAAGGATTGGAGATACCCCAGGAGGAAAAGAGGCTGTTAAGAAGAAGTTGGCACAGGTACTTCCTTTGGTCTGGGAGGCAATTCCTGAGGATTTTTTTGAAAAATTATGGAAATCAATGCCAAATAGGGTGGCAGCAGTCTTGGAGGCAAAGGGAGGATATACCAGGTATTAATTATTAGTTTATATCTTTCTTATTATTATCTATTTAAATTACATTTGTTGATTTCTTTACTATCTATACTTTATTCGTTCGTTCGTTCGTTCGTTCGTTTGCTTGCCCGTTGCATGCCAACGGCAGTAACTACCCCCCCCCCCCACCCACCCAGCCAGCCCTATGGCGCAACCGTAAGACATGTCTCAGATCACGAACACTTCTGTCGAGTGGCTGTAGAAAATCCTAAAGCAGTCTGTTCCGGGCAGTAAAATTTGAGGACGGCCGTCTTTGGGTAGGACGGTGGGCCCTACGGGATGAAACATGGTTGGCAAGGGGGACGGTGTGGGATTACCCGGGACTATCAGGGACTGCGGGGGACTATCGTTTTGTCCGTAAGATATTAGGTAGTAGGACCGTAGTCCCTGTAGTCAGTGATCCCAAGCGGCCAGTCCGGACCATAGTCCGGACTACAGGTCGGCAGTCTAGTCAGTCCGGCCTTGGTTTTGAAAAGCCTGGGCCAGTCCGGTCGACATTCTCTGCGGCGGCCAAAGCCCGGCGGCGCCCAGGCAACCGCCGGGTCGAGTCTTGGCGCAACCTAGGCGAGAACCGCCAGATGCCCAGGTAATCTGAAGATATCTGTGGACAGCCTGCAGGCTTTCCACTTTTAATCACTCGGAACAAGATATCAGGAGCAATATGCGCCTGACGCTATAGATCTCGCTTAAGGTAATGGCATGACATCCAGCGATGAACCCCCGCTGTACCCAAACATGCTGTCCTACCTCAAGACACTATACTATTCTTCACACAACTCTCTGGCCGCCCCGGGTGAATATGTATTGTCCGTGTGAAACAGTTAGTCCTCTTGAATAATGAAATATTTCTTAGTAATAAAACTCACGTGATCCCTTGAAACATCGGCCTGCGGGTGACCCAGGCCGGGCCCGGCTTTGGTTTGGAAAAGCCGCTTTCCCACAGTCCGGCCCGGCCGTCCCTAAAAAAGCCTGGGCTGGTGTGGCCGTACTCAAAGCCGGACGGACTGGCTTGGGATCACTGCCTGTGGTCCGTCCAGTCCTACTATTCCCGGGCGTAGTCTATCCTGGCACTGCCAAAACAGCGGACTACCGGCTATATTCCGTCCCATCCTATCTTAAAGAGGGACCGACTGGACGGTTGGGAACATTGCTCCCTCCTAGAGATTCTTCAATGCTAATATGAGGTAATTCAAGATGGGAGACGACACGGCACAAGAAAGCTCCTGCTGATTGGGGCATCATTAAAGTGGGTACCATTATGAAGAAAGCTTCATAACAAAAGACTATTACTGTGTTAACTTTCAATAGCTTAGAGTCCTCAAGGGTAAAGTCCATGGTTTCGAGGTCGATACAGTTTGCTTCAGTGGAAAGCATGCTCCAGCAGTCACCGCCGAGGGCACCTTCCTTGGCGGCAGCCACCCAGACGCAAATACAGCAGTGAGTAAATACGTCACTAAATTAGTTCAATTTGACACCCAACTCCTTCCAGTGGGAAGAAATCCTCCCAATGCAGAAGTTTGGCCCTTTCCAGAGACACATCTGGAAGCTAAGCTCTCCCACTGCCAAAGCCTATTCGCATGTCCGGCTCCATGTTTCCCAATGGAGGTAAGGTCATGACAGGTTCTGCCACAAAAAATGCCGGAGTACTAATATGCTGTTAGGAATTGCCTACTTCCGCTTGTTTGGAACTACAGTCCCCCTGTTACCCAGAGATCCGGACGCGATTATTGACCCTGCTCAGGTCTCCTCTGGCGGTCTGGCAATCACCTACGGCGACCAAAACCTTGGAAAAAAAGCGGCCAATCTGTTACTTCTCGGAAGAGGTAAGGAATGCAGGAAATGGTCGGGAAACCAATCGCAGCCATAAGCCAGGCTATGTCGACTTGGTTATCCTCAAGCTTGTTCGCCTTTCCCTTGGACCAGCCCAAGCTCCTTAGTTATATTAACATGTTTTCACTACAAAGGGGCCCCGGGATACATTGAAGAGGTTATAGTTGACGCCCTCCACTTCCGTGGGAACTATTCGCAAGCCATTGAGATCTACGCTATCAATTCCTCTGGCCAACGTATCGCGGAAATGGCAGTGGATAGGAACTTATCGTTCCTGCACACTCTTGTGGGGCGGATAACGAACCTGCACTCCAGTCCACCCTCTTCCAGAACATTAAAGGAAGAGCGGTTACTCATGTTAAAATGGTCATCATCCCCGGCGGAGGGGTGAAGCGCCTGAGAGTCTCCAGGAAGCGTGTTATATTTGCTGGTAACTAAACTTGGGACTGCTCTCTTGGTGCCCCTTGAGCTTATAGCAAAAACATGGGAGGGGCCCTGAGAATAGACAATTTCCTCTAGAAGTGGAAACAAAACAACACACATCTACTTTTCCTACTAAATTTTGTTTTTTCCTCTATAATGTATTTGTGCCTCGAGAAGCTGTTTTATAACCTAGTCTCTACCACTACTTCCGTGTCAGGGATTGGCCCGTCACCCCGGAATAGCTACAGCAAGCCCATAGAAAAGGTAAACGGGTGCCAATTCTCGACTCGGGGACACGAGTAGGATAGAAAACATGAGAGTAGGTGATTTTCTGTGGTCTAGTGAAACAAGAAAGAAAAACCAATCAGCCTAAATAAGTGTAAAACTAAACATACGCTAAATCTCAGCTGAAACTACAATCCAGGAAAACCGCCCTCCCGGGTGATCCCGTATAAATAGACATCTACACCACCAGACTCTAATCTCCCACTAAGAACCGTAACAAGCGCCCAATATCTATAATGTACCTACCCAGATATATGCACACTAGCTGTCTGAATTAGAAACCCCGGAGGAGAAAGAGATTATCTATGGCCCCCTCTCTCACTTAATAATCCTCGAAAAGCCCTTAGATCCCTTTATAATTGATCTTTTTGGAACATCTCCTGCGCATAAGCACGCTCTCCGCACTGTCAACAAGGGTAGCAGCCATTTCCTTGCTGTTGCTATCGCGGAGTTTATTCCTCGTGCGCTTTTTGGCAGTCCTTATGATACTGTTGCGGAGGTCAGTTTCCTTCTTCAGGTGTTTTATTATAATATCCATGTTAGCCATACCATGGCACTCATCGGGAGGGGAGGGGAGATTAAAAAAAAAAGGGAGAAAAGAGAAGATCTTGCATTCTTGTTCACGAATGTAGTCCTTGTTAAGCCCCACCTAGATCTTCTCCTTCAGGACGCATTCCTCCCTGGCCGGCAGGGCGTTCTGGACTTTAAAGTCGTCGTCGACGTCGTCGAGATTGTCCGGGCCATCTGATGTAGTAGAGGGGGCACATTCATTGCGCACTTGGCGGTCGGCCTCTCAGAGCTCTTCCATTATCGATACGGTAGAGCCATCTGGTAGAGAGGCAATTTCGGATTCGATTACTTCCTCCACTATGGCGGAGTGTTGGTTACCTTGGGCCTTTTAGACGCCTTGCGGTGTGGGGGTCCTTGATGTCGATTGATGTTCCCGGGAGTGAGGAGATAGGGAGCGGCAAAGGGGGGGGAGTTCTGGGATTACGAAGCCGTTAGCATCCAGTATTGGGGTTTATCGAGAAGTGTAAGTAGTGTTGGGGCGCTGGGAGGAGCACTAGGAGGAGTCCCGGGGGGGTGCTTGGAGAGGCACTTGGATCTACGGGAGCAGTGACAATAGCAATATTCTGGGAATCTCGGTGACTTCTCCATCATGATTAACGTTCCTGACCCTCTTGCGCCTCTTTGAGGCTTTTGGTCCATAGCTGGGTGGGCCGTACGCTTGCTCCAACCATATATTTCTAAATTCTTCAACGCTCAAGTCTTCCCTCTTAGCATCCTTTAATTCCTCCAGCCGCTTCTGGGTAGTCAAGTCGGCTATTTTAACAACGTAAACTGCCTCCCTAACAGAACGGCGGAAATTGTTCATGCGGGCTGTGAGGATCAATGCGGCGCCACAAATACCCGATGGCTGATAGCCTTGGACCATCCAATTACAGGACATACGTTGTATGATACGGAGGGTGTCGTTGGCGACCTCAGCCTATTCGCAGCCCAAGTTGAGGTGCTTTGAGAAGCGGTAGAGGTAGACTGTAGGATCTACGTGTGGTAACTAGTGGTAACCAGGCCTCCAGGAGATGAACGAGTTGAGGGTAGGTGTGGCCGGGTGAGAAGACATTCACCCGGAGCGCTGTTAGAAAGAAGCCCAACTGACTTCGGGGGGAAAACTCACATTTAGTATGCGACTGGATGTCTGAGAAGTCAATCAGGATCTGGGAACTCTTTTTGAGACGGCGGGTAATGTATAGACAACAGTTGACAACTAATTGTGTTTTGCGACCTCGGTTGAAGTTGTGCGTAACGGATAAAGTAAACCATTGTCGGACGTGATCTGCAAAATTTTTAGGACAATTGCTAGCACCGGCGAGTTGCACAATTTTGCGACGTCCGAGAAGATCTCGTCACCCCAGAAAGAAAACATTATATTAGGAGTAACATAGGGTGGTCAGTAGAATAAAAATAGGACAAACCCAGCATTCTGAATTATCTGTTGCGGACTCTCAAGACTATTTCCACTCCTAAATCTTCCCCGGCCAGTTTGCATCTGTCCTTCGGAAATATAACTCCCCTAAACTCTAGCAGCCCCACTGCTAGTCCCCCCGGAATAAATGAGAGAATCATGAACGGCGGAACCACAATTCGTGCGGACAAGTCTCCCGGAGGAATCCGCGAAATCGGTTGGTTTCGACCTCGCACCGGACAGCAAGGTGTTCGACATAGTGAATATTTTGGACAACGGTCAAAGCAAGAGTTGCAACTGCTACAGAAGCCTAGCCGAGGGTGCACACAGCCCAAAAATAGCTGATATCTGATTATGGAAGGACTCCGGTGCCCGGAAAACAATGGGATAAGAAAGAAATTGAAGAGATAAAGTGCCGCTAGTGAAAAATTTCTATCTTGGAGATGGGTTGTTAGAGAGAGGAAAGGGACATGAAGCGAAGCGAAAGTTACGTGGGATGAGATCGGTAGGGGGCCGCACTCGAACGCTGATAGGGTCCTGGCCGGCCATAGAGGTTAAAGTACTAGGCCAAAAGGATCCGTACGATGGGTGGTTACCGCACGACACCTCAAAACACCCCACTCCTACAATCAACCACCCCTCAACCATGATGCCTCCACACAAGACAGGCTACCTTACAGAGTTTGAGAAAGGGCAAATAGTTGCTCTGAGAGAAAAAAAAATCTCTTTTGGAGAGATTGGAGAGCTCTTAAACTGTCCAAAGAGTACTGTTCAAACTTTCCATGACAGCTTCCAAAAGAGGGGTGATGCAAAAAACCTCCTTATACCTGGAAGACCCAAAATTATCGATTCCAGAACCCAACGCCACCTAGTCAGAGAGTCTAAGAAGGCATGCCGCCAGACTTTATCAGAATTGCGCAATGATGTTGCACCACATTCCTCCCTCCAAACAGTCAAGAGAGCTTTAGCCTCAGTCAACATAAAGAAATGGAGAGCTAGGAAAAGAGCTCTTCTAAA